GCCAAAATCGCTTAGGCGGTTACAGCGCCAAATAAGAAGAAGAAGAAAATTTGTTGAGCAAATGAAAATTATTAAATTTTCCTTTCTGCATTCTAAAACCAAAAAAAAAACAAAAATTAAACCTACTTGAAAGTACAAAAATTTAAAAATATTAAAATTTTTTCAAAATAATAAAAAAAAATCAGAATCTAGTTTGAAAAGATGTTTCAAACTTTTTTTTAAATATAAACTTTTTTAAGCAATGAAATTGTTTTTAAATTTTTCCAAAACACTAATAGAATCAAATTCAAATGCTCTAAATGTCGAATTAAAAAAATCATAATTTTTTTATTTAGCCATAGTCGATTAATCGCCCAACCCTATTTTCGTTCTGTAATAAATCTGTATGCATATGTGTGCACTTTGCAACGCTAATCAATTTGACCTTTTATTATGCGAAATACTTTAATTTCTTTTTTGCTTAATTTTCGAAAATGCTATTAAATATGACCGCTTATAATATGCAATTGATTAGTAAGTAGCTATTTAACGCTTTTAAATACCGTTTTCGTGTACCAGTATTTCATGCTAAATATTTTTTTTGTTTTTCAAAATGGTGGGCATGGAATGTCTGTATAAGTATTTGTGTGTGTTTGAATTACCAAATACTTTCGGCTCTCAAATTATGCTTTTTCAGCTGATCGTTGTTTCTGCTTTATTTTTGATTATTTTTTTATGATAACTCGTAAGTGCTACTGGAAATGAAAACTTTTCTGGAACTGCTTTAGAAATAATTTTTCAAAATTTAAGGTGTTCCAAATCAGGATTGCAGGGATCAGTTCGCAGGTAGTTTTCAAAGCATTTGTTTATAAAATTTTCCAGTTTTCAGAGAAGTGCATATCTTTCTGTTTCCAATTTGCAAAATTTTCAGCTTTTAGAATCAAATCACTTTTAAGTAGGTATATATGTATTTAAACAAAAAAAGTTTTGTTCGATTGTGTGTCATCTAACAGCCTCACTAGGCTAATTCGCAAAGAAATATCTGCTATGTGTGTACTACATAAATGTGGTCCAATTGTGCGAAAAAACTATT